CTGTGCACAGCACGGACCACAACAAAGGCCATGGCTTCTCCCACACTGGCCTTAAATAGCTTTAAATTGATGCTACTTATCACAGGGTGGAATGAGGACCAGGCGAAGCCAGCGTCACAGGGGAAATTCTTACCAACACTCGCCCTCTTAGCCGTGGACGGCTGGCTCCCTTGAGGCTCCTCAGCACAGCCTCTGCCTGCGGCTCCCACCCTCATGCGTCTTGCTACTTCCAGGTGAAGGAATCTGTTTCCACAGCCCAGACAAAGGCTACTGTGACCATCCTCAGGTTATGCAGAAAATGGTCTAGGGTGCAGAAGCCATGTTTACCTCCAGTTTGTTGGCTGCTAGTGCTATTTTTGAAGAATTAAAGGATAAATAAAAATTTCTAAAAACGAGTGCATACCACAAAGTCTAGCTTCAGATTTACTTAAGGTTAGACTTAGTATCTGAGACAGAGTAGAATACTTCCTGTCTTAACTTAAAATGTCACTGTACCTTCGTCTTAGCCCTTCTTTCTCCAAACATGCTTTGTTACTATCAGTCAGACAAGCCAACTAGACAACTTTCACTAGGGAGTTTGTTAAAACACTAGAAAACTTTAGTTAGATACTGCATAGTCCTAGACTTGAGCATAAGCACACACACACACACACACACACACACACACACACAGCCCCGCTAACAGAACATAGCGACTACATTTTTTTTTAATTTTTAAAAAATTTTATTAGTACATGTTTGCAGAACGTGTTTACACTCCTCATGTGGAGCTGGTACATGTACATAACACATCTTATTTTTAGATAGGTGATATTCCTTTAAACTAATGTACAGACTACCTAAAAGGTAAGGTACTATCATAATCAATATGACATAAAACTGTAAACCATAACAATATAACATGATTCCTTTTTAAAAAATATTTTAATGATTTCTGTATCTGCATAACCGTATCCAAAGCTTTTCAAAAAAAGGAAATCGTCCCCAGTGTAACCAGCGCGCTGGGTGCAGCCTGGATGTGCACACGCATGCGCACACTCCCACTCACACCTGCTCTGACGCAGTAGGAAGTGAATTCTCAATCTGCCAACACGGCCATCTGGCGAGCTGCACATCATGGCTCTCTGTCACTCTATGAAGGAATGGCAAGCACGAAGCCAAAGTAAAACTACACCACGGCTCCTGGGGGCTTCTCTCTCGTTTAATACTATGTGGCATATCAGCAAATGTCACAGTGACCTCGCTGACTGAAAATGAGCATTCCGGACGGCATCGTTAAGTGAACAGCGGCCATCAGTGACACCCAGCACGCAGCTTCCCAGGGCCTGAAACTGCTCTTTCCGGGAGCGACGGGACCTCTGGCGTTCTCGGGCCGAGCAAACCCAGCAGGGCCGGCGCGGTGGGAAGCACCCTGTCTCAAAAGCAGCGACCGCTCTGCCATGAGGACATCACGGGCTCACATGGTCACGAGCTGACCAGTTACAGCAGTCACCTGGCGCGTTCGGGTGGCTTATCAGTCTTTCAAAGTGAATTTTAACATGGCTAAAAATACTCCCAAGCTTAGGAGATTCCATGTCCGCAAACCCTGAAGATGCTCGCTGCAATCTGACGTTCGGGCCAAGCCCACTTGAAAATCAGCACAGACCTTGGGTGCATTAAATGTAATTCCTTTTGTTTAATTTTAGTTTTCAAATGTCGTCACACAGCTGCTTCAGCGCTCGCCACCCCACCCGGCAGCGACTACCAAATATAAACAACGGCAACACCGCTCCGTGGCATAAACACAGGAATCTGTCTCCATCCAAAACACGAGCCCTTAAAAGTCTAGGTGCTTACCAGATTTAACCAACCAGACTTCGAATCCTTCTAGAATCTGATTACATTACCAGAAGCCATACAGAAGCAGTTTCAAAAAAGAAAAAACTCTCCAGAAAGTTCTCGGTTGAGTGCCTACTAATGAACAAAGGTTAACTTTATCTAAAAGGTCAAATGCCTGGTGGCTAAGGTTATGACCTTAACAACTTAAATTGTGACCTTGCCACGTGCCGGTTATATTGTAGATTCTGATACAGATCATCTGCTAAAGACTGGTCATAAATTAGCTTTACTGTTATGTGCCCACAAAGAAAAGCATGTGCCACAATACCATAATACCTCATTGTCATATTATACATGGGAAGGACGACGCAAAGACAGGCCAAAGTAAGGGCATGGGATAGTTTTGCTCTTTTAAATTTTTCCCAAGTTAAAATCTTCAGGCTCATGGAGTCACTCCGATTTCATTACACTTGTTACTGCCGAACAGCCACATAATTCACATAATTCTACTATCAGTGGATTTAGGAGGAAAACTTAGAATGTAGTTTATTATTATAGTTTAGCCTCTCAATAAGCCTTAGACTAATTCTCCCTGCTTAAAAAAAAATGATTGGTTCTGCATTTGCTTCCAGTACTCAAGAAGACTGTGACTTTTTACCAGGGAACAATCTAAATGCGTGAAGCAACAATTACTGTACACATGTTCAGAAGGAAAAGATCACATTTCTGTGGCCATGGGGGGTGGCAATTCAGAAGGAAAAAACACAAAATATCAATGAGATAAAGACAAATCCAGCACAGGTGAGGGACCACAGTGGTCTTGGCTTGACTGCGAAGCACGAAGCATGCCTCAGAGGCTCTGCCTCCTGCCAATGCTGGCAAGTTCTCAGACCTTTTAAGGAGGTAGAAACATTGTGTAGTGTTTACAAATCTTCAGCATTATAACAGATGCTTGTCAAATCAGTTGTACGTACGTTGACCAATCTACCTCCTATTTATACTGGCAGCTTCCCTTCCACAAATAACAGGTCTGTCTCTAAGTCTCCTAAGTCAACCTGAAATACTCAGACAAAAGGCCCTCGTGACTTTCTATTGTAACCTTGCTGCTGCAAAGGCAGAGAAGCAGCCACGCCGCCGATCTGTGCACACCAACGGCCGACACCTGGCTGGGGCTCAGGCTCACGCGAACCCGACAGCACTCTGACCCACGCTGTGGTCAGTAAGTCTCTCACGGGCAGTAAGGATGCCGGAAGCCCTCCTAACAACCTTCTAGGTGTCGCTCCGCCACAGTCCCTTTAGGTGTCATGGCACCCGCGACTGTCAGCTCAAGGGTCTGAAGAAAGCAGAGTAACAAGCTGTCTCGATGGATGCGACACATGCAATGGGAAGGGCCGGAAGGGTGTGATTTCCCCCATCCATCGAGGGGAGTGTTCAAGTCAAAAACGTAGACTGGGCACTGCTCAGGTGGATAGAAGCTACGCAGGCATTTCACGTTGGCGCTGGCGTCTAAGGAAGTACTCACGTGGTCTACATCGTCTGCTGGCAAACTCAAGTTTCGGTGGCGGCCAATTAAAGCGTTCACTATAACTTATAAGTTATTTTTCTGAATATCCAAGAGATAGACACAAGATTTGAAAAACAGCTCCTTGAAAGGCCTTGTAGCATCTGAATTGTTTCTGCACCCTGATGCACTTACAAATGCAAATAAACAAGAATGTTTCTTAACTTTGCTTTTGTCATAGATGAATCAACAATAGAGCTAACAGTCTAAAGAAGACTAAAAATGATCTCCTGTGTGGAGATCATTTGCCAGGTGTTGCTTTTTCCTTTTGCTACCCCAAACTGGCCAAAGCAACAGGCACGTGTAATCAAGTATATATTTTCAAACCCCCAAATATGTGAAATGCTTACAGAGCACATCTTCTAAAATACTCATCTGTCTCCTGCCAACAGAATGCGAAGGGTGATGTGCTGCACTCGCAAAGTTGATTTTTCCAGTTTCTTAAGTAAGGACAGATGGGTAACAAAAGTTCACTTTCTAAATCATATACTGAAAAAATAATAGAAAATACAGCTGACTTCTTTCAAAAAAACAGCTAACGGTTTTAAAGTTTAAAACATTTTTGCAAAACAGTATAGTGCTGACTTTACAGGTAGTATCTGTTTTCTCATTGGTGAAAAAAACACATAAATACATCCGAAAGTAAGCTCCTCCGGACCCCACAAGTTACTTTCTTCCATCTGGCTCAAGCGACTGCCACGACTGCAATCTAGCAAGACCGATGCGTACACATAAAGAGTCGACAAGTCACACAAGACCTGAGCTCTCACGTAACACAATGAGCCTTTTGTCCGAAACAGGACGAGAGCAACAAAGTAAAAATGCATTATTTTAGCCAAGCTTCAACAGTTTTATCCTGAATGCTGTTCTGAATGCTGAAACACGCACAGGTAGACTATGCTTTAGAAAACAATAATTAATTTTATTAAAAAATCAAAACAACTCACTGCATCAGCTACCAATAGCAATTGCTCAATGTGTTCGTGCACTATCAGGGCGGTTTCTTTTCCCATTAACCCCTCCATCCATGACTCAGGAGAGTGTAGTGGATTGGTTCCCTTAGCTATTTGAGACGACATGAAGAATTCCTAAATACAAAGCTACCTAGCTTCTGGATTCATGTGATTATCTCTCCTTCATAAATGATCAGCCATTTAATAGTAATCTTACCTTCAACTTCTTAATTGGCAGGAGGTTCAAGAGGCCTTGATAGGTTAAAAACACTCCCAGCAAGAAGGCAACTAAAGACTGCCTCACTAGCAAACTACACGCTTTTTAGGAAGACTACTGGCCAGTTAAAACAGACTCTGTATTACAAGGGTTTTCCCGAGGCTTCTCTCACCCTTCAGCAGGAGCTGGGGTTTGAGCTGCCCACCTGTCTCATCACCTGCACCTGGACAGCTCTGCTCGCAGCGGACCTGAGCCTGCCGGAACCGCAAGGCTCTGTGTTCCACCTGGGCCCCTGCACGCCTAGGCCCGGCCCGTCTGGCCGGCTCCTCTGAAGCCCCACTGGTTGTCTGGACGCAGCCTGCACCTCCAGAGCTCAAGAATGTGCGGCACCCGAGGCCACCAGGAGGGAAACCCACATGGGCGCGGAAGGGGTTCCTGCCACCGCACTTACCTGCCGCGTGCACAAAGTAGGCCAAGTACAAGTCGAGCTCCTTGACGGACACCCCTATGTGGTGGGGCTGGACGCAGAGCCCGGGGTTGGAGCACTGCGGGGCCTTCACCAGACGCTCGCCATCAGTACTTTCCAGCGGGATGCCCTTAAACAGGATCACCATCACCAGGTCCAACCTCCAGACTTTGTCTGCCTGGCGCAGGCAGTCAATTCTCCGCATCTTGCCTTTCTGGTCCGGGTTGGAAAGCACGCAGCAGGGAGGCTTCTTGCCCGTGACCGTGAGCACAAAGTCCTCTCGGTACTCGGGTCGGATGTCTTTCCGCAGCTTGGCCAGGAGCCGGGACGCCCACTTCTGCTTGACCTCCGGCTTCTCGCTCAGCAGCTCATCCTTCACAGCCCGCTCCTCTTCCTTGGACATGCGCTTCTCGTGCTTCTTGAAGTATTTTCGTTTCCGGGCCTGCAGGTTGAACCACGTGTAGGCGAAGGCTCGGACGTGGGGCAGCAGTGCTTCGATGAAAGGGTGGAACTCATCCTGCAGTGGGAGGAAGCAGAGAGGTGAGGACAGGGAGACAAAAGGAGACACCTCCCCCGAGGGCCGACTTACGGGCTCGTCTGTTCCCCAAATCACACAGGGAACCCTGCAGGGAAGTCAGGGACAGGGACAAACAGCAGTATCTTTTCTCACTGTCTGAAGAAGGAAACTGCCAGAATCCAAGAAGGCTTGAACACGCCTGCCAAGCCACGGCTTCTGGCTGGGCCTGGTCCCCGGGACAGCGAGGGAGGCTGATCTAGGCGCTTCTAACAACACCCAACCCCAGCCTCCTTCAAGGAAGGCGAATCCCAGGCTGTCCCAGCCTTGACCTCGCTGTTGTGGCCCAGCCAGGGCTCGGTGGCCAGGTTGGCAAATCACAAACACTCAGATGCCAGTCAATGTTTATGAAAGTCTAGGAGCAAAATGGGCTCCACCGTCAACGAACACAAAGCCTTCCCCTCTAAAAAGATCACATGGACCCTGGGATCTTTTTCTTCTTCATTTTGACCATATCTCAATTCTTCTTTTAAATATAACATTTGTATATAATTTTTTTTAGTCAAAGAGTTAAATTGTGACAGGTCCTTATACAAAAGAAAAGAAGGATTTTATATTCATTACATGAAAATAAAAGATCTATGCCCAAGATGTAATTGTTGGTTCTACGGGACTAAGATAAAAAGGGGGAAAAAAAGAAAACCGAACAGGCCGAACGGTAAACAGAAGGCACCGTAGTGACGACCAGCTGCACTTAATACACTCAATCTGGTGATAAGGCCGAGATGCCTTTAGTACTGACCATGCCTAATGGGCAAATACAATTTTTAGAATTTTAGAATGTTTAGAAATATAGTCCAGCTTTTTCTCACAGGAAAACAGAAAAACTGGTAGGTCCAATGTTCATGAGACCCCAGCAAGCCTTCCCAAATGCCCCTTAACATTTGGGTAATTTGAAAATAAACTGAATCCAAAGAACTGAAGTGTTTTCCTGTTTTACCCAAAATGTTTGATTCTCGTGCTGACATTTGGTGAGGACATATAAAAATAAAAAATTAAATAGTAAACTCCATCCGGCTTCCAGAGTACATCTAACTTTTGATTAACTCACCCACAGAAATCTTACGTAACTTCTTTGCCACATAACTCCCCTCCAAAGATAAATTATTTACCTTCAAATAAGTAGGACAAGAAAATCAAAGAGCTATTTGACGACTTTAAAAAGGGTACACAAGACAAATATAAAATGCTGTCTTTTTCAAGATAATGACCTAAATGTATACTTTTTAGGCACATGTAATTGTAATGTCAAAAGTATTACTATTACAGTAATTTTTAAATTGCTTAAATTCAAATGTAAACTGAGAGGGTAAAATTGGTAAATATTTTAATAGTCAAGTCTGTTAAAATGTTACAAATTATAATCAATCATCTAAGCACCACATAGGACTTTTTAAAAGTATATATTAATATCATACATAATAAATCACTGCAATAATTGACATTTAATTTTTTTCCTCTCTGTACCAATTTTATGCTGTATGTTTGAAGTTAAGCTTTGAAAAGTGCTCTTTTTCAATAAAAGAATTCATAACAAAAGTAGCCAGCTTTCAGAGCAAGCATTTTTCAAGTGCAGGGAGAAAAGAGAAAAATACAAGAATTACATTACTCTTTACCATAAACCATTAGCATTTAAAAATTTTTCTGATGTTTCAGAATCTTTCTTATTTCCATACTTTAAAAGAAAGAAATAAGGGACAAGTCACAGTTTATCTGCTAAGGCATATGCCAAACCACAAAGCATTTAAACATTACTAAATTCTGAGCTCATCCTGAAAATGTTCTAAAATACATGAATTTTAAGTTTGAAACAGTGTTCGCACTGGGCGATCTTCGTATGTATACGGGACATGCTGGGGACCAAGATTCGGCAGCACTGTGCAGCCTTCCTTCAACTACAGAGTGAGTTTTCATCAAAAGGAGACCTCGATTTAAAGCCTCCACTCCGTTTTATAAAACCAAGAGCAACTTGGCTCCAGACATTTCACATCTATCCTCAAACACTATCTTATTTTAAAGCTTTATTAATAATGAGCATTTTAAGTAAACATCACAGTACGGCACTTTACATGTCCAAAGGTATTCTCTAAATGCTTCTCAAAAACTGGGACCACATTCACTGGGGTTCAGAAGCATTTGTTTACCTGCCAACCGAAGGCCCATATAGCTCATCGTGAAAATCTATGAATGAGGTCAACTATGTCAACCAGTCATTAAGAATAATCTAAGCCCCCAACCTTGCATCGAAAGTATGTAAATAACATGTTATTCCCCAAGGATTTCTAGACTGTGCCAATGAAAGTGCACACTATTTTGGAAAACTTTACTCAAATGCACAATTTCAGTACTAGTTAATATTTTAAAAATGTATCTTTCTCAACTCATGATGAGAAATACTCCAGAACAGCAAAGCTAAAGAGTATCATTAGCTTGTAGGAAATGTCCCCGGATAGCATAAGTAATTAGCCGGGGGTGGGGGGGTATTATGTCCTTGTAAATCATGCTGTTGAACAAAACACCATCAGCTATGTAATATTCCACAGTACTCAAGAAAAAAAAACAAAAATATTTTACATACATAGTTGGCGAGAACATTACAGGCCACCAATAAAAACAAACCCGAAAACCTGTTTCCAGAGTGGCTATTACTTTGAATCAGAACATCCAAAATGTTGATCCATTTGAACAGAGGCCAAATTTAAGAACCACACAATAGTGATATTTCTAGAATCTATTTTTTAAAGGTTCACTGATAAATTTCTGATGGGTTATCACTGTACAGCCAGATACATGATTTGGTTATGATATGCCCCTTCTGGGTTAAAGGAAGCTGTCCGGCATTTTCCTGGCAAGTTTGTAAAATTTACATGCAAGTATATGGAATCTATTCTTTCATGCAGAGCACTTTTATCACTGTGCTTGCTGGATTTTTTTAAAGAGCAATAGGCTAAGTTTCTCTTTCTAAAACTGGCCTTAAAATGTTATAAATATTCCAGAAAAATAGCTGAGTTGTAAATCAATTTCTAAAAGAACCTTCCTTAAGATGAGATTTTATTCACTATTTATTGTACCTTTTTTCCACACGCTGTTAAACCAAGAATAAATGTTTGAAGGCCTAGTGAATGTAATCAACACTACCAAATATGTAGGAGTGAAAAAAGACAGAAGAGGAAATCTCTGTCAATGTGATAATAGCCGGGGAGGCCCGAGGAGCCAGCTCTGTGCGTCCCCGCCTGCTGGGCCTGCAGGGCACAGGTACCCTCTCTCACGCCAGCCCCAAACGCCAGCTTATCCCCTCGGGCCCTTGGAGGGACACAGGGGCATCTGCCTGCCACTCCCTGTCGCAGCACGCTGCTAATATCTACAAGTTCTGCGTGCTGCAAAGTTTAGCCAGCTAGAACTTCAGCCTCCGAATCTCAGCGTTTTCACTGCAGTCTAGTTCATTCAAATGATCCCAACACTTTGCATCTTATCCATATGCAATTGTGAACCTCGCCAGAAATGGCTGGAAAAGTTTCATTCCATACTTCCAGAAGTTCCTAAAATAGGAACTCTGCAAGTTTGTTAGGGGAGAAAAAAACTTTTACAGTAACTAAAAACAACTGCTTTCCATTATTAATGCTAGGCCTAAATCCCAAACAGACCATTTCAACATAAAAGATGCATTTACGCGTCTTCTGCGATCGGATCGCCGGTATTGCTGCTGTTAGAGACTGCAATAAGCAGGGTGTCATAGGGAAAATGAGTCCGCGATCCCGAGGAGCCAGGCGGAGAGCTGCTGCTACTTTTCAGCCTCCCGAAGTCCCGGGTTAAACCGTTATCTCCCGCTCGCGAGGGCAGGTCTGGGAGCGGTGAGCATGCTTCGCGCAGCGCCCACAACTTCGCGCGGCCACTCGCGTTGGGGCGCTGGGTACAAAGCTGGGTGAGGGCAGCACTTTCTCTTCCCAAGGACTCAGCGCATTCGGGCAGAGGAAATAATGAATGCAGCAGCAGGGACCAGATTTGGGGCCAGAGTGGCCTGCGCCCGCGGTCGGGGCGCCGTCCCGCGTGGATCCCACGCTGCCGCGCCACGGGCCGCGTCCCCTGCAGGCCGCGCGGGACCGATCCACGGCGCGGCGCGGGGCCGCGGGTCGGGAAGTTGCGCGGGGGACGCCGCCGGGTCCCGCGCGGACACCGCGCCCCACGCCCCGCTTACCTGCGTGAGGCAGAGCGGCGAGTACATCCTGCGGCCGCGGAGAGGAGCGGAGCGGCGCTCACATGCCGCCGCCGCCGCCGCCTTCGCCGCCGCGAACTTTCCCCGCCGGCGCCGCCCGCCCCCCGCGCCGGCCGCGCGTCCAAGGCAGAGCGCGCGATCCGCGCCGCGCCCCGCCCCGCACGCCGGGGAGCCCGGGAGGGGGAGGATCGGGAGGAGGAGGGGACGGGGCGCGGAGGAGGGGGCTGCGGCGCGCACTGCCCCGCCTGCCTGCCCGCCCGCGCGCGGCCTGCGCCCAGCGACAAACTACTTTCCCGCCCCTCCCCCACCGCCGCAGACCTGCGCGGACCGCGGCGGGGACTGGCCGGCGGCGCGCGTGTGCGCGGTGCGAACCCTGCACCCCGGACCCGGGCGGTCGGAGCTGCGCGCCGCGTGCCCGTGCGCGGGCCCCACCAACTTCTGCGCCGCAGCCCCCGGGCTGTGCGTGGGGTGACGGGCACCCCTCCCGGGCCCGGAGCCGGGGACCCGGCGCCCCGAGCACGGAGCCTCCGCGCCCGCCCCCGGGAGGAAGGGCTGTGGCCGCGGCGCCCGGGAAGGGTTCGTGCCGTCCCCGCGCCGCGCACCCCGGGGCGTCTGGCGCACCCCTCTCCCGGCCCAGGTAACAGTTCTTAGAGTGGAAAAGAGCTTCCTGCAATTATTTTAGGTTCGCCAAAGTATTGTTTTGGCAGAGAAGGGGGTGGTTTTTAGGGTTTGGCAGGTTGCCAGCGAGCCTGCTTTTCCAGTTTTGTTTTTGCGCCTGCCCGCGCCTGCCTGCCTGCTCCGAACCCCGGCCCTCGCCTGGCTCCGCAGGGCGGTGTGCAGCGCTGCAGAGCCAGCGCCTCCGAACCGGGAGCCAGGGATGTCGCGGGGAGGCGGCGGAGGAAGTCCCCGCAGGAAAGGCCCCGGCGAGGGGTAAAGGCCGCGCGCAGACTCCGCTTCCCTAAGTGAGGGGCAGAGACCGAGCTCCAGGAGCGATAACAAAACAGTGCGCCGGGTGCCGCGGGCCTCTGCCTAAACTTCTCCGCGCCGGCTCGGCGACTCTGCCGCTGACCCCGGGCCCCGGGCTCCGCTCCCCGCCCGGTGCCCTTGCGCGTCCGGCGTTCTTCACAAGGGCCGGGCGCAATCCCCCACCTCTAGTTACAGCCCGTCTCCCCCTGCGCTGCGGCCGCTCCTGGGCTCCCGGGGGCCGGGCGGGGGTGCTACAGGGACGCGGTCTCCGCCGAGGCCTCGCTGGGATCTGTGAATTCCAGCTCCAGTTTCCTCGAAGGAAGCTCCGCGTCCCCGTCCCGCGTGCCGCGGAGACCCGGACTGAAGCTGGGTTCTGGGTACCCTTGGGCAGCCCTGCAGCGCAGGCTGGAATTTAACTCCAGGGCGCGAAAAGCCACCTTTCCCAGCTGCCCTTTTTCCAAAAGGCAAAGGTTCCTACTTTTGATTGAGTCTCAAGAAAGAAAGAAGAAGGAAAAAAAGACTGGCAAGTCGCCCTGTTTTTTCAATGGGGGAAAAGTAATTTAATGCTGATATTTCCATTTTGAAAACTTCTTTTGTTGCAGCGGTGGCTGTGCCCTTGATTCCAGCTTTCTGTGGTTAGCAACATCATCCTAGGTAACTTTTGGCGCCTCTGGAGTGGGGCGCGGGGTGCGCCCTCTAGGCGCGCGGGTCCAGGCCCTGTGCCCCACTGCTGCGCCCCTGCACCCCGGCCCGTGGGCAAGGGGAGTCCTGGACCCGCCAGCGCCTTTGGAAACCAGAGTGGGAAAAATACAGTAGAGGAGTTACAGTCGCAGAAAGGCTCCTGGTAACTTTGTCTCCAACAGGCATAAATTTAAACACACAAAGAAACATGTTCCTCAGAGGGCAGACAGGGGTAAAAATGTTTCCAACTCTCTCAGGTCCAGGTTGCAAAATCAAATTCTGTCCAGAGTTCACGGAGAAAATCGGGGGGGGGGGTGAGGAAACAGGTGAAGTAGGAAGAGTTTACTGCGGTCACACAAGTGAACCATTGTTAGGAAGGATAAACCCCTTATTGGAAATAACCGCTGGTCATTTATTTTGCAAGTGGTAGGAGGTTGCCTTGAAATGGGATTGTCTCTGAGAGAGAAGACTCCTGTCATGCTCTCCGCTATCCATATTCTTCCTGGCACAGAGCCCAGCCTTGCATTTACTGTTTTATTTGCAGAAATGTTACCTTGCCAGCTTTAGTGAAATCCTCGTAGATATATAAATTACGTCGATAAGGTTTCACTTATATGGACATCTCAAATCCCCCTCATTTCAGAGGTTACTTAATAGGGAAATCCTGTGGATATGATTTAGATTCTAATGCCCACAGCCATGAAGAGGGGATGGCATTCGTGACACACCATTCGCTCAGCGGTTCTTACCAACACTAACTTTATTAACTACTGTTTTACAACATTTTCTTCTCTAGCATTTGACCTGCTGGTCACTTGTGTGCAGATTTTTCTTGGACGCACATAATCCTAAATTGAATCGTGTTGTTGAACTGAGAATCCAAATGAATTCTAACATCCCATTTCCAAAGCAGATTTGATTGGAAGGCCTGATGCCTTGGGAAATAGTTGGGAATAGAACCCCCCCCCAAAAAAGAAAGCGCCCAATTGCTTTCCATTTACTGTCTAGCAGAATTAGATGTCTGCACCGCTCAGGGAGAGGGAGGAGGAGGAGGAAGAGGAGAGGCAAAGGGTCCAGGCAGGGGCTGCCCTTGACGGCCGCCAGGACCCCGAGCCAGTAGCTTCCACTGGGTTGGAGGCTGGGACCCGCAGCCTCCCGCCACCCTGACAGGGTTGTTTTGGTAACAAAAGCTCAGCGGACCCTGGCCCTTCTTGCTATTCCGTGCACTTGAACAGCAGAATTCAAGAAAAGCCAAGGAATGCGCTCCCTCTCCCTCCCGTCTTCCACTGCGATCTACAGAACAGCTGTGGTCCGCCTGGGCTCACTTTCTGCCCCTGCACACTGCTGTCAGGGTCGGGAGAAGCTCGCCCGTCCTCCACACGGCTCAAGACGGCACTTCTCGGACCAGAAGTTCTGAGCCTGCCGTGCACTCCGCCCTCAGCTCACCGCAGTCCCTCGGTGGGAGAAGAAGCCACGCATTTGCTGGAGAAACTGAGCGCCGCTCTCCACGACAGTTACCAGCTTCCCCGAGTGTGAAACAACTAAAGCAAAGTTAACTTTCTCCAGCAGCATTGTTCTGACTTTTTCCAGAGGGCAAAGTGAGGCGCATGCTTCATGCAAAAATCCTCCGAAGCGCTCCCGCCCTGCCCGGCCGTCACACCCCCAAACTCTGCCCCATTGTGCGGAATCCGGAAGCGCTGGAAGCTTTGACAGCTCGGCGCGCACCACCCCCTTAGGAGCTGCCTAGAGCCCAGCTCTGCCCGACCGCCCCCCGGCCCACCCCGGAGTCCTGCAGATTGGACCGCATTCCCGTCACTCTCCTGGTCTCCCCCACTGATTAGAGGGCCGAGTCGTCAATCATCTTCGGTCGCGGCGCCTCTCCCGGGTTAGGTTGACTGCGGCGGCCCGACGTCTCCCCCGCGCGGAGCACGTACAGGATCCCCCACCCCTTGCTGCAACCGAGCAAGCGCTGGGAGGAAAAAAATCTGTTAAGCTCAGCAATATTTTTCAAGTCCTGGAAAAAAAAAAAAAAAGAAAGAAACCCAGCCTCTGATGCACACGGCGAAAACGGCAGCCAGCGAGCTGCGTTCCCGCACGGAGCACAGCACGGGCGCCCGCGCCCCTTCCCTGGCCGGCTCTCGCTCGGCGGACCGCGACCCGCCGGCCTCGCTCCTCCCCGTGCGTCTCCGCAGTCGCCGCCCGCGGAGGCCGAGGCGGGAAGGCCTGTCCCCTCCCGCGTCCGCCCGCGGCCAATGGGGCCCCGCGCTAGGCGCAGGCTCGGGACAGCGGCCGAGAGGACCCCGGGGCGCCCAGTCCGCACACCTGCTTTCTAGCGCTCTGCGCAGAGCCTCCGGTGAATTACGAGGCTGGTTCACGGCAGTTAGTGCGGGATTGAACCTGTATTTGCCCTGCTGCAGGCCGAGAGCGAGGGACCCTCTCTGGTGCCTTAAATCAAGAGAGTGAGAATGTCCAGACGTTAGGATGAGGGGCGGGAGAGCTCCGCAGGCGACCGCGCAGAGCCAGGGCGCCGCACCCAAGCTCTCCCCTCGCCGCAGTGGTGTCGCCCGCAGCGCGTCGGCCCGCCCGGACCCACCCCAGAGGGCGCTGCGGGGTTCTGCCTCCAGTGGCAGGAGGTAGAGATCACTGGAGCCCGAGTCCTACGTCTCGCTGGCTCATCCTGTTTCACTAGCCCAGACTCTTCCTTTCAGACCTTGTGGTCTGGATAATTTGACGTGAGTTTTACTTTCTCCATCAGGATCGCCCCCGGTGCTCAGCAGAGACAGAGGCCCAAAGACCTGGACGGGGGATCTTTTTAAACGTGAGGCTAAAGAGGCACAGCCAGGACATTGAGCTTTTGTTCTTTAAATTGTGTTTGCTTGGCCTCTGTTAAGTAGCTTAGAACGCCTTGCTGAAACCCCCAGCGTCAGGAGAATGCACCCTTAGCTGACGTGATGAAAATATCCAGGAAGTTGAGAGGAGCAGAGAGCAGCTCGTCGCTGCCTGATGTTGGGACCCCTCTCTGCCAAGGGGCCGGGTACTCCTGCCCTGCACAGCTGCACTGGAGGGGAGTCACTGTCGGGCTCAGTGGTGCACTTTGCAGGCATCCTAGGCCTGATTTTGTGGCATGGACAACACTGCACTTCGGGCCGGCAGCCCACAGGCTCAATTCGGCCCTCTGAGCACCCATTTCCACTCAGCAAACTTTGCCTCCTGACGTACATTTGAAGGCAGGTGGTGCCTTAGGTTAAAAAATAATAATAAATTTTCTCCAGCACTCTGGGAAGCTGAAGCAGGAAGATCGAAAGTTTGAGTCCAGCCAGGGTGTCTTAGACCCTGTCTTAAAAAAAAAAAAAATTAAAAGAGCCTGAGGATGTAGCTTACAGTGAAGACCCTGGTTCAATCCCCAGTACCTCCCCAAGAAAATGAATAATATTTTTAATTTGGTGGTCCTGGGGATTGAACCCAGGGGAGCTTTTCTACTGAAGTGTACCTCCAGTCCTTTTTATTTTTTACTTTGAGACAGGGTCTCACTAAAACACCAAGCTGCCCAGGCTGGGCTCAAACCTGTGACACTCCTGCCCCATCCTTCCCAGTTGCTTGATTACAGGCCTGCATCCTAGTGCCTGGCTAGTGTTTTTGTAACTAAATAAAATAAGTTCTAGGCCGAGCTGGGTGGGTAGCATGTGACCATTAGGTGGGGAAGACCCTGTAAAATAGGACATTTAGCTGTCAGGGGAGGGCTGTGTTGTCTAGAGCTCAGAACCAAGCTGGGTGGGGGGTGCATGTCCAGGACCCCCATACCTTGAGGGGCTGAGGCAGGAGGGTCAAAAGTTCAAGCCCAGCTCGGGCAACTTAGTGAGACACTGCCTCGATCTCCAAACAGAAAATAGAAGAGGGCTGGGGCACAGCTCAGTGTAAAGGTCTTGGGTTCACTGCCGATAGTGAGTGAAGAAGTGGAGAACCTCTGAGATACAGAAGAGGTGAGGATGCAGCAGCGAGGCCTGCGTTGCCATTGTCTGAATAACCCAGCAAGCCAGGCCTGGACCTGGGCATTGTCTGTTGCTCATTAACCTGACCTCATGTAGCTGGCATCATTTCCAGAGGGGCCTTTATGTCTCCAGGCCACCCACAACAGCCTAGCGTAGGCTCGGGGGTCAACTTCGGTTGGAAAGTTGGTCAGACCCTGTGACGGTGGGCAAATTATTTCACCTCTGCCACATCTAGCATTCTCATCCAGAAGATAGGAAGAATTCAAATAATTGTACCTGGTACCCAGTGGTTATAGTAATGGCCGTTCTGGGCACATTCACTGTTCCCCACTGTGGATAGGGGAGAATAAGACATAATCCCTTTCTCCAAGATACTTTCGGTCCAGTGGGAGTGACAAAGATACAGCGCTCAGGACAATGTAGAGTGAGGAATACCACCATGATGCGATGTGCTCAGGGCAGTGCCCGTCTATGTAGGAGGCCACGGTGACAGACTTCAGACCACTGGGCTGGCCTGGGCCAAGAGAGTCATGAGGGCTCAGAGAGGGAGGCAGGCATTGGTGCTGCTCTGGAGGTCTGCGCTGGTGGGGGGGAGGCGGGGGGATGGGAGCAGCAGCTCCTCCCTAGGAGGACAGGCCGAGGAGTGGGGATGATTTCAGGAGGCCACCTCCCCAAGTCTCCTCCCTGCAGGGGGACGTTAGAAAGGCAGATGAGGCAGGGAAGTGTGGTCTTGTGAACCCTTTGAACCTCCTCTGCTTGCGGGATTGTGACGATATCCAAGGTATTTAGCCGTGAGAGGTATAGAGTAAGAGTAGAGAATTGGAATGATCCCTCTAGCACTGGAGTATGAGAGAAGATGGAGTCCCGAGCTGTAGCCAAGCTAGAATGAATGGGAAAGAGGCAGGGGTCACGGGACACCACCACTGACTGTAGTTTTCAGGACCTTTAATCGACAGGGAGAATTTAGGAGTGAAGATTGTCCAGATCTCCAGACCCAAATGTGCAGCTGTACGGTATGACCGACCACTCAGTGAGAGAGGACCTCTCGCGTCCCAAACTGCCACGTCCATCCCCGTAAACCAAAACTAGGCAATTAGACGATGCCATAACAGGAGCTCCCATGGACGGTGACTCTGTTCCCTCCCGCCACTCCACCAGGCCATGGAAAAGCAGGCACACAGGACAGGGTAACTTTGAGCCTCTGGCCCCTTGGACAGCCTGCGACTGCCACATAGCTGGCTTTATAGCTTGAAAATAGCCTCTTCCAGGAATTCTGCTTCAGTGGCCCAAATAGAAACATGATCCTCTTGCAAGATGTTGGTAGTGAAAGCTAGAACACCAGAGCCTCGTAGAGTTAGAGCCACAGTTCACAATTGCAATTGTTTTCTAATTATCAATTTGTTTTCATCTGTGAACTAACTGAACAGTCACACACAGATGTGTTTCCCATTTTCTCCATTTGCCTGTGTCAGGCATCTGAAGGGCTAGCATTGCACTAGAAATTGAAACACCGCAAGAAAATGTAAATGCGGGGCTGGATGAGCCCGGGATTACTGCAGCCACCAGCCCCAGGGCCGGCTCATTTGGGACCAGAACAGGAGCCGGGTGACACCCGTGTTTCCAGGCTTCCTGCAGCTGCGTGTCGGATCAAGTCCCTCTCCGGGGAAGGTGAGCAGAGTTGCTGAGTGCAACTGTGTCTCCAACAGAGGCTGTGTGCAGGTCCCTGTCTGGGGATCCTGGCAGACAGGGCTCTCTCCCTTGGCCGGAACCGGCACTCCAGATGACCAAACAGCCTCGCCGGGCTTTACTACCCGCCTTCTTTCCCAGAGTCCTCTTTTCCCAGCCTCCCTGCTGCTCTCCCAGCCCAGCCTCCATGAACGTCCACTTTTCCCTTGACTTCACTTCCTGACACACCCTACAAGTTCCTCCCTGGCTCTCCTCCTTTGTGCGATCCCCTCTGCCTGGATGTTCCTGAGTTCTCTCCTGGGCCCACCATGTTTCTCAGGAACCCGCTCCATCCACCCTCCCACGGTAGACTTACCCAGCCCTGCCCGGGTTCCCGGACCTCTGGCTCTCACCCAGGTCAGTCCCCTCCCTGCCGTCCAGCAGCTGTTCATCTCTGTGTCTCTTGACTGGACGGTGGAACCACGGTTGCTAATCCACACTTACAACATGCGCACGAGAGAGTGCCCTGCGGGTCCTCAGCAAATCGGAGAGTGTGCGTGGCAATGAATGTGTGGACAAGTGGCTGTGTCTCCAGCCGTGCACTACCGAGAACAGAACCAGGAGCCTGGCAGAGGTGGGACAGGGTGCGTCACGGGGGGCCGGAAGTCTAAGCCGCAGGGCCTCAGTTCACCTTCCATAGGACCCCACACACCTGGTCACCTTCAGCGTCCCACAGGATAGGCACACAAGGAAACCGAGGCCCAGAAAACCCTCGGGAGTTGCTCAGGGCCCTCACCAATGGTGAGTGGAATGTTTAGTTCATTCGGATTTCCTCTGCATGCCCAGCTAACCGATCTGGTGTGAGAGTGCAGTTTCAGGTTTCTGAGAGCACAAAAGCCGCAGTCAAAGGTGAGCACAGGCCACAGCCTGCTTCCCTGGGACAGCACCTGAGGCACGGGAGACCCAACTCATGTTCTCTGTCGCAGGACAGAGCTGCTGGGAGCCAGAGAGGAAATCTCGCCTCAGGAAACGAAAGGAAGTCTGAGCCACGCTTCGCAGAGCTGGACGGGAACCTGAGGGCTCCGGGCAGCAGGTTTTACAGATGGTAACAGAAGCCAGCAGGGTGAGCAGCCGGCCTCCACGCAGACCCTGGGTGCCAGGCCGGCCGTCATGAAAGGGTGCTGTGCGCGGCAGGAAAGGATGGCGACTCCACCACGGCTGGCATCAGAGGAGGAGAGGCCTGGGGCCGATGTGTGAAGGGGCTGCCAAGCATGGATGGGGCACGCGGCCAGGCAGCTGTGCACGCAGGGTCCAGGCGGAAGGGCAGATCCCCTGCTCGGGCGCTGAGGGCGACGTGGTGTCCGGGAGGCCCGAGGGGCCAGGGCAGCGCCCAGAGCTGGACCCAGGGCGCTGGCTTCCTGTCCCTCGTGACGTGACCTCCAGGCAAGTGCTCTCCCACTGTGCAGGAGGGAAGCACTGTCAGCCCTGCCTCCTTCCCACCAGGCTGTTCCCAAGGTCTGGGGACCTCCAGTGCGACTCTGGTAGGCATGAGAAGCTGCTGCTCTGTGGAGTCCAGTGCTGCCAGGCGGCCTTGACAGGGCGGCTCCAGAGCGGGGGACGCCAGAACTGAGCCGCGTCCATCCTGCCTGCACTGTGCAGGTTTCAGGGTGGCGGCATGTGAGCGTCTCTCTCTCTCTCTCTCTCTCTCTCTCTCTCTCTCCCCCACACGCACACACGCACTCACCCCTAGTAAGATAAAAACAAGGTGACATCGAGGACAAAAACCACAATGCGTCCCATCTGCTTTGTTGGAGCTGACTTACAAGTTCGATTTTGAATTTCTTAATACTCAAGTTAAAGAGGAAAAGTAAAATAACAAGACATATGCCAACCCACAAGATCATGGCTCCCTATGAGGCCACCACTCGGTCGGCAGGGACACAGGAGGGTGGTCAGGGTGGCCAGGAGGACGCCTGGGCCTCGGCTCGGGCCTGAGGGAGGGTCTGGCCAGCGCACGTGGCAGACCTTCTCCAATGACCAGGGGACGTGCTTGGCCAGTTTTTCGTGGTATTAGGGACTGAGCACAGGGACTCGAAAATGTTAGGCAAGCACTTCGCCAGAGTTATATCCCTACCCTAGCGGTATATTCATCGTTTAGTTTGGGGCTTTGGAGACACAGTCTGACTGTTGCCCAGTGGCCAGCCTGGCCCAGAACTTGCTGTCCTCCTGCCTTGACCCGAGTAGCTGGGCGCAGGCCACCTTCCTGCCTCAAGTGGCTGGTGGGGGTCCTCCAGTGGCCCCGAGCCCCAGCTGGCGGTCCTCATTGGCTCTCCACAGCGCTCAGGCGACGCTCCTGGCCCAGAAAATCAGCAAGAGGCCCCTCAGGCCCTGTGCCTCGCCTCGCCTCCTGTAATCAGTATGCCTCAGACCCGAAGCAGCAGGGAGACGGGGCCAGCTGCAGAGCCCTCTGTGCTGAGTACAGCCCGGCCTGCCACAGGGGGCCGCAGGGCTGCAGGCTGGGTTTGCTGGGCTCCTGTTTGATCAGACAACAGAATAATCAGGGCCGCCTCCAGGTCCCCTCCGCGGGCTGGGGAGCAGGACACAGGGCAACCGAAAGCATCGCGAAATCCGCCTGCGTGGGCCCGTGGCGGGCGGGGAGGAGCCTGTCTGGCCCTGTCGCCGCCCCGGGAAACGCAGACTCCTTTCCTGTAATTGCGGTGAAACTGTCACCGAAGGTTCACTCTTCTGGCCGTTTCTGGACGCACAGCTCAGCGTCGTGAAGTAGCTCTCACTCGTGTGCAACACAAGCAAACGGGCTCCAGAGCCCCGCCCCTTCCCCAGGCGGCTCCACCGGATAAACACCCCTCCCTCTACCTGCACCTGGATGCCTCCTGCCTTCTCGCTAGAGCAGGACCACTCAGGACCACGTGACCCTGGACTCAGGCGGTGCCTTACTTCATGTACCGCCCGGCCTTCACAGTTCCCTCACAGGGCAACGGGTGCCAGAAGTTCCTTCCTTTTCAGGGCCAAATAATATTCCTGCCATGTGTCTATGCTGCCTTTTGTTTATCCTTCGGTCTGCTCCTGCCTTTTGGCTGTTGTGAACAATGCTGCAGTGAACACAGGGGTGCATAAGCACCCACAAGAATCCTGCTTTCCATGCTTTGAGGCATTCCCCGGGGGTGGGATTGGTCGGTCACATGGTAATTGATTTTTAATTCTTTGAGAAGGAGACAGCACTTTTAATTTTCTTTGGAGAAAACACAGTTTTGAATGACTTGCTTCATTGATGGAGTCACTTTCCTGAGCATCGGGACTCCCGGGTCCTGGTCCAAGTGCCCCCACTGATTGCACCCTTTGGGAGTCGCCTGAGGCAGCAGGACGGCTGTCTCCTCCCCTGAGGGGTTTTCCTCCGCACTTCGGGGAACTGAGCCCGGGCCCTTTGCAGGGCAAGTGCCCTACCGCCGAGCGCACCCAGCTGTGAAGATCTGTGTGCCATGCACAGGTGTCTCCGCCCTGTCTGCAGGGGCGTCTGGGTCCTGGAAGTGCTGGGGAGAATGCTGGTTCCTGTCAGTTTGGCATAGTTTTCACTTTGTGTTCACTGACAAAAGAAAACCGAAATGAGAGCGAGCAGAGAGAACCGGGGTTAAAGAGGGCCTTAGTCTGGCCAGGATACCTGAAATGGGCAGTTTGTCACAAGCAGAGTCGGGCTGAAAGCTGAAGAATCACAGTTTGTAATGTACTTGGTATGTTTATAGTGTACAGAAAAATGAAGTAGTTCTTCAAAAAAGACGCCAAAGAACAGTGTTTCTGGTTTGAACATTATTCCTATTAGTCCACTAGTCCTTGCAAGAGCTGCAACATTGACAGTAAATCAAGCGTATTTTAATTTACCATGAGGCAGTGAAGAGAAAATTTCCCCAACTGGTCCTCTGCCAAAGCATTTCTATGACCTCTCCACGACCAAACAGCTTCCAACTATGGAACGGGCTCAGCCCGGGAGACGTCCACTGGGGCTGCTGGTGCGGCCTCGCTGCACTAGGGCCCGGGTGTGGGACAAGGGGGCGATCTGGCCTTTTAGGAATGAGGGGCCACAGCAGGCCTGTCACCCACGTGCACGGATTGTCGGCAAGGACGTGTGGCAGGGACACTGTCTGGGAGAGCACACCAGCCCACTGTGCCCTCCCGCCCCACCTCCTGTGCCCATGAGACACCCACTGGGACCTCAGGTGACAGTGGGTCACGTGTCCTGCTGCAACGCATAGCACTCTAAATTCTGAAAATGTAAATATATGGTGCTTCCCGCAAAGTGCGTTGAAATAGTCGCCAACGTTCAATTGAGCCTCTCTCTCTTTTTGGTCCCAGGAATCGAACTCAGGGCCTGGCACTTGCTAGGCAGGTGCTGGGCTGCTGAACTACATTCCCAGCACAAGTTTCTCAAAGTCTGAATCAGAGAAAATAAATTCTATGTTACAGATATTCAAAGAACATCCATTACTGCATTGTGTTATGTAAAACACTATTTTAATTGTTGCGGCATGTTCAGAAGAGCTTTTCTTGGTGGATGATAACATTTACACAGACACCTGTTGTTTCCTAAAGGTACTTACTGGAAAGGCACTGAAGAGCTTAAAGCTCCTTCCTTGTCTTCCCCCTCCTTTATAAAGTTAAACAAAACCCCTAGTTTTACAAGCATCTCTATAATCTGGACATCGTTATCTGATCACTCAAATAACAGTTTCAGTCCGCTCAAAGCCTTTGCTTCAGTTTTTAAGGTAACACTGCAACTTTGCTATGCAAGCTGTCATCTCACTGTGTCTGTTAAGTGCAAAAGCAACAGACTCCCTGACTGGATCACCTCCACCAGACCCCAGGTCTTCCTGCTTGGTAGTATCTGAGTTTGACACTTGAGTCCTAAGTTGGAAATTAAAAAGCACTTCACTAATAGAACAATCTCAATATGAGAAAGCTGAAGTTTTCCACTGTGACACTGTATGTTACTTCAAAATACATGACTAAGGGCGAGGGATTTAGCTCAGTGGTTTCGCTGCCTGCCTCGAAACCAAAAGGTCCTGAGTTCGATCCCCGGTACCAAAAAAGAAAAAAGGAAGTTCTAAAAATAAACGACTAAGAAAATGTCATAATGAACACTTACAATTTTCAGATATTTATTAAGATCATCAAATGGCATGCTAATGAAATGGCCTAACGCAGAAACACATTAAGAATTTTAAACTTTTCCTAGAACAAGAAAGTTCTGCTGGCGATTTTTAACAGAATCCATGCCAAGGAAGCTCTAGAGAGCGAATCTGCCATCTCACAAGGCTCTGTAATGGTCAGTCTTGGCTCTAGAGAAGATATCACCAACGGGGTCACCCCTGGGAATTTCAAGGGGGCGATTCAAGAGGCTGGGCCCTCACCTGGCCCCACAAAGCCGTCTTTGTCATTTTTCGTATGTTCCTGTGTGAAGTCATCATTCCCACATACCGCATTTAGAGCTGTACATTAGATCTGGCCCAGCTCTGCGGCCCTGGCCTTGGTCTTTCAGAGGACAGGGGAGGTGTTGGTCCTCTAGGACGCTGAAGGTCCCTTCTGTGGGCCTGGATACCAGCTGACTTACGCCCGCCTCTTTTAGCAGCTTGGGTTAAACCTGCCCCCTGGCCCCGTCCAGGAGCAAGGAAACTGCAGTCCACAGATCCCACGGCCCAAACAGGCGGCAGGCTCAGTTCGTTTCGGGCCTCGAGCAAGTGCGAGCATTGGCCGTGAGTTCCCCTGGGCCATCCCGGGGGGTTGGGAGCACCTCTGAGGCAGTGCATTGCAGCTCTGCACGCAGCACACTTCGCTGAGGACACTCACAGGCCCTCGTGGGTGCCCACTGTCGGCCACACTGGGCATGTAATTCCTCACACAGGCTTTTGCTAGGCGGGGACCACCCAGTGGCTTCCCCAAGTCCAGTGCAGCCCTTGCCTGGCTTCTCCTTCCCAGCCTCCCTCTGTCCCAGCCTGAGCTCCGTCCGGCAGCCCGGGGGCTGGGGCTGCCCCAGCTGCTTGTGACTGCCATGGCTCGAGCCCTGAAGCTACACGCGAGCTGCACTCACTGCACACTCAGCCAGGGCTGGGCAGCATGTGTGGTGCTGGGCCTTCGCGTGCAGGACACTGCACTTGGCCGGTCCCCCACACCCGAGTGACTGAGTCAGCAGCCTGGCGCTGCCTGCAGGGATGTGGGGCCCGCGGTGAGACTGAGTCCAGCAGCAGGGACAGAGGCTCCTGACCCCGCTGAGGCCCTAGCTGCCACAGCCAAGAGACCCTGTGGCCTCCCCGCCCCAAGTCAGGCCCAGCCAGCGTGCAGTGGGCCCACTTCTATTTTAAAAGCTTGATTCTGCGGCTGAGTGCTGGTTCAGTTACCAGCAGACCAAGTACCCCACACTAGGTACCCCAAGCCCACAGGCCATGCAAGGGCTCCAGTGTCCCTCTCTGGGCAGAGCTTTACGGTGCAGATCCCTGCCTCCCGGCCCCTGCTGTAAAACCCTGCATTCCCGCAACTTCAGCAGACCAGAATGTTCTGATCAATCCATCATTAACTGGGTCCAAACACATTCTTATTACCACTCACATGGTATCATCACAAAACACTGCCGGTGAGTCTTCAAATGCATTGAAAAGAAAGCGTGAAGATGACGATGACAATGATGACTATGATAACTTGGAATCTGCCTCGATGCCTGTACCATGTATACCTGGTCTCGGATCCTTTGTACTGAGATTAAGCATGCTGGGTGTTTTCAAGTTCTGTTTTAGAAAACGTAAATAGTATTTAATGAGTAAATTTATACACTTCTTTAACTGAAATGTTGGGTTTTCTTTAATAGGAAACTAATGATTTTTTATCAACCTTTATGCGTAAAAAGTAAAGTTCTCGTTCAACAACAACAAAAAACAAACTTGATAACCAGGCAAAAGGAAGCAGTTTCAAAAAGAGAGAAAACTGGCGACCAGTTGTGAGAAGTCAGAGCGGCCTGGACAAAGGCCATGTGCGCTGAGCCGAGGGAGGGACAGAGGGGCAGAGGCCGGCCTCCCCGCTGGCCACCGGCTTCCCCTTTAAACTAGGAAAAGGAAAAGAACTCGGGGCGCCCTGCCCCCCTCCCAACCGGCGGCGGGTCCTCCCCCAAAGGAAAAAACGCGAAATCTCAGGTGCCAGACCCAGTGCGCAGGCACCCTGCGCGGCTTCTGGGGTGGCCTCCGTCTGTTTGGCGCTGCCGCAGTGCACGACCTCAGCCACCGCCCCGTGCTCCCGTTCTCGGCGTCCGCACGCAGTCCCCGCAAAATGTGCACTGCCGCAGCGGCTGGGGCCCTGTCGCTTTAAATCACAACACACTGGCTTGTGCGCGCCTTGCAGAGCCCAGAGGGCCGGCTCCAGGTCTCACCAGGCACGGAGGGGAAACGCGCAAAAGTCACCCCAACCGACACCAGCTCCGCAGCGTGCACAAGCGGCTTGTGACGCGGCTGGGTGCAAAATAAAGTCCGAGCAAAACTAGGAGGGAGGATCAGCGCAACCCAAGGGAAGGCGGCGGCGGCCAGGCAGAGCCCAGGCTCCTCGGAAAACTGAAAGGAAGCCACTCATTGGCCGACCAGCCGCCGGGAGCAGGGCAGAGACGTTCGCAGGAGGAGGGTAGCGCCCAGGGCGCCGGAAGGAAAGGCCCTGAGGCCTGGGGCCGGTGCCTGGCTCAGTCCGGGGCTGGCAGGCCCGCTGCGGAGGAGGAGAGGCCGCTCGCCCGCCCCTTCCCCTCGCTCCGGCTACACCGAGGAGTCGAGGAGTCGGGACTGCAGGAAAGAGGCCTCGGCGCCGAGCTGAGGGGCCACCCGCCCGCCCGGGCGCACAAGCTCGGGCCAGTGCTTTGGGGGAACATCACGGCATCATTGGAGTTTTGAGGGAGGGGGACAAGACTATTTTCGGGGATCAACCAAAGGATTTGGGGTGGGCGCAATCTTCAGCGTTCCTGTTTGTTAGTAATCTGTACACAGACCGCACGGAATTCAAAGAAAGCCTTAGTGGTAAGAGTTCTGGGCAGGCCAGACTGAGGGCACCAACTCCTCCGACTGCTCCCTGGGCCCAAGCGTGCCCCCGGGGACCCCTGTGCCTGTGTGGGAACCGAGGCGCAGGCGCTGACCCAGCAGAGCGTCCTGGGCACCCGCTTCGGAGTGCGCCTCAGTGTCCCGCGACCCCGGGCAGAGCACCGCCTCCTCCGTGGGCGCCTAGGAGAGGAGAGCAGGCCCGAGGCACCCACACTCTCAGGCAGGAGGCAGGGCAGGCCTCCCAGAGTCTTCCTCAGCACCGGAAGGGCCCGGGCCCGCAGACCCCAGGCCAGCGAGGTGCGAGGTGCAGAGTCTCTGCTCCTTGGCTTTGGCCCTGCTGATCGGCTGGAGACGACTCGGGAGGAAGCCGGGTTTTCTCTGCCGAGAAGATTCCAGGGCCCCAGGCCCACTCCTGCCTGTCCCTCCTCTCGGTCCACTCCCTGCTCGCTCCTGCTCCTCTGCGCCACTGCTAGTGTAAAGGGAGAGGGACACCCCGAATTCCCTCTCCCCCAGGGTCCCCAGACACTGGAACCAGAGGATCCTGATTGCTGCGTTTGGGATGTGGGACCCCAGAGGCTGTGGATCCCCCGTGCGGAGGAGACCAGGACAGTGGAGCCCAGGCCCCTCTCCCCCTGGCCCCGCTGCTGGCTGGGGAGAGACCTGGGGTGGCAGGACCCTGGTGCCCAGCTGCGGGATTGGCTCCGGTCTGCGTTGAGCC